AGGCATTGCAAATAGTCATGGTAGAACCCTGGTGAAGAACCTGAGAGGAACAAGGAAGAAACTGCATCAGTATCAGTTTAAGCAAAAATGAAGATTTTCAAAGTGGAAAACAAGAATTGAAATATTAACATACATAAAAATAATTCTGAAATCGTGATAGCACATACTACGGTATCATAGTAGTAAAACACCCTATGACAACAATAATATCTGAGACAATGTATTTTGATAATGTTTTATTGAGGACAAATAGATTCATTATTCATGAACAAAATCAACATTACATATATAAGTATATATTAATAAATGAAAGTGTATCCTCTTAAAGAATATAACTTGAAGTACATAAAACAAAAATGGATAAAAATACAAAAAGAAATTGACAAAATATTACATATGCCTCTCAGCAGCCAAAGATCTAAAAGGTCAACAAGAGTTTTCATAAAATAAGATAACGTAAAAAGTTTATAATAAAATTGTTCATCCACAAATTAAATAGTATACATTTGGAGAAGATAGGGGACTTGTGAAGACCTTTTTTTTAATGAACTGTGCAATGATGACTGCAATTAAGCAGGTGGTGGGGTTTTGAGCTCCTGAACTTCAGAGACTAGGCTATCGGAATGTGAATACAAAGCCCACCCCCACCTAGAACTACTTACCTGAATGTGAGTGAGGTGATGTGAGAGAGGGAAACTGGTATCAGACACCTTCAAAAGTGGGTGTGTAGGTGTGTCCACATGTGTGTAAGTATATCTTAGCAAATATTCATGTGTCTCTTGGAAAGCACACTAATGGCCTGGCATCTCTCTTCTCCTTAGTTTTAGGTACCCAGAATCCATGAAGTGACCCTTTAAGTAACCTAAGTAAGGGCTCCCATGGTGCCCAGAATTATCTCTTTGCTACTCCCTCCTTCCCCAAACGCACACACAAGATACGACTACAATTATGTATAATATTGGCCCTGGAGATTGTCCTGAGCTCCCAGAGGACAAGGTTGGACTTTAGTGTTTCCAAGAATGTTCCAGATTTTGCCAGTCCTGAGGAACCTGAGGAGAGAGAGGGTGAAAGTACACCTGGGTGTGTAACCTGTTCAGGGTCTGGTAGTTTGTGTATTCCAGAGGCCCTCATTCCCAAGTGAGAGCCAGGAATGGATTAACTTCACTTAATCCATTAAGTGGATAACTCCACAGAGTAATCATGTCCATGAAGGCATCAGGTACAACCCATGCTGTTCTTAGCCTCAAGGTCTAGCTATTGCTAGCCTCTTTCTGATTTTCAGGCTCTAACTTTTCCCCCAGGCCAATGGCTTTGCCCCTGACATTTCCCAGCCCATTTTCAATTCACCCTGACCCCACCTCCAGCCTCTCAGACCCCAGCATCTCCTCAACTTTTGGGGCCAGATGTTGCTTTTATTTTTTTCTGGTTAGTTCAGCGGAATTAAGTGATTAAAGTTTGTCAAACAGTATTTTGCTAAGTTTATTCAAAATGTACAAGGCAGAGTAAAACAATCACAAAATTATGCAAACACTAAACAGAAGCAGGACTTAGAGAGCCAGGTTCTAAATCCTGATGTCATACAAGTTCTGCCCAGACAGATCCTGTAGGGACTTTGTTCAGAGTTAGGTGTCAGTAAGAAAGAAGCAGTGGCAGAGGAAAGTAAGCGGCAGAATCAATGGCCTAGGACAATCAATACATCAACAGAAAGGGACATAAAGAGGCAAGCACAGATACGCCTGCTTTTATGGACACAGCCACAGAGCTTCCCCTGCAGAAATAATAGCATGCTCTAATAACAGGCAGAAATCTTGGTCACAATCATCTTTTCTCTCTGTCCTGAGGTGGTCCTTAAGGGTGATAATGACAGGGAACAACCAAAAATATACTCTCAATTTGTGGACAGGTTGTAGCTTTTTGCCTCAGCTCATGGAAAGAGAGCCTAGAATCAAGGTGGATCAGACAATAATGATTACCTCACTGTAAGAAAAAAATGAAAGTTTCTTAACATAAACATTTTTATCTTTGCTCCAATACCTTTTTTACTCCTTGTCGCTATTTATATCATATTCTAATTACCTTCTTCTCTCCCTAGATTGTGAGTTTTCTGATTGGGTACAGTGCCTTATTCACCTATGAAATTCAGAAGATTAATGTATTGTGTAAGGGATAGACTTATTATTTGCTATTATTTCTTTCAAGGTATCCAAAACAAATAAGCAAACATACAAAAAACCCAGCTCTTGTCAAAAGTAGCTTTGCTAGAGCACAAAGGCCAACACTGACTTTCCTAGGATACCCTAAATAACAATATCAAGAAACGCTGTGTTCAGGAAATTCTAATATTCTCAAAGAGCTGATAAGCATGTGGGGTAAACAAAAGGTCAGACTGAGTTCACAATGGGCCAAAAATAATCCACATGTGAAGCTCATCACTCTTTGAATATCATAAAAAAATGCAAAGGTCATCTTTCATGAGGTCATTAGTTACAAGGCTCATCTTTGTAGTCATTCCTTTAGAAAGTTGTGGTTTTCCCATTGGTACCTGTGCTTCACAATAAGACACCCAGGAATCATCTTCATCTATTTTAAACCTAAACCTGGATCCAGAGGATCATGGAGTCTCACCGACACATCTCATCTAGGGATGACAGTCTCACTGTAAATGCACTTGGTATCAGAAAGTGCTAGCAATCAATCAATCAATGTATGTGTGTGTATGTATGTATTCTAAATTTCTTGAAGCAATAAGTACATAGTTCTTTTATGACCACTTTTTCTCTACTTCTAGCAAATGGGAATTCTGTACATTGAGAGAATAAATATTTTTGGCTTTTACTTTTAAATGTACTGCATTGCCTATGGACCTTCCCTTAAGAGGATTCAAGATCCACAGGCTAGTTTATGGGGCATATAATAGGTTTACAGGAAAATAGTATTCTGTTGATAGGTCAGGTATAAATAAGTTGTTCTAAATACTTCAAAAACTCTCAGGTAACATATGATACTGTCTGGCTTGGATTAACAGAAGCAGCAACCTCTAGTCCAAGGAAAGGAGGTGCTGGAGAAGGTGGGAGATTAATTATAACTTTTTCCCTTTGTCTTTGGGGTATGGAGAGAGTATAGTTACCTCCTCCACGTAAAAAAACTAAATAGTCTCAGGCGGATCTGTTTAGTGTTAATGCCATAGACCAGGGGGTTGAGAACAGGGGGCAACAGGAGATAGAGATTTGCAAGTACAATGTGGACATGAGGAGGTACTTGGTGGCCAAAGCGGTGGGTGAAAAAAGAAAAAAAGGCAGGGATATAGAAGACTAGAATCACACAAATGTGGGCTCCACAGGTGCTAAATGCTCGGAACTGGGCATCCTTGGAGGGTAGACGCAGCACAGCCTGCAGGATCAAGCCATACGAAGTGGCGATGAGGATCACATCCATGCCAGTGACTGAAAGTGCCACAGTGAGACCATAAATGGTGTTGGGCTTGATGCTGGCACAGGCCAGCTTGGCAATGCCCATGTGCTCACAGTAGGTGTGGGGGATGATGTGATGTCCGCAGAAAGGTAAGCGTTCTATGAGGATGACAAAGGGGAAAACAAAGAGAAGGCCACGGGCCACACATGCCAACCCGATCTTCCCGATCACTGCGGCGTTGAGGATGGATGTATAATGAAGTGGACGGCAGATAGCCACATAGCGGTCAAAAGCCATGGCCAGCAGAACAGCAGACTCGGTGGCAAAGACAGCGTGAACAAAAAACATCTGGGTGAGGCAGCCATGGTAGGAAATTATGTGGGACCTAAGCCAAAAGATAGTCAGCATTTTGGGCAATGTGGTCGAACAGAGTACCAGGTCAGTGATGGAAAGTAGACACAGGAAGAGGTACATTGGCTCATGCAGAGTTCTTTCTGTCAGAATGATGTACAGGATGGTACTATTGCCAACCAGAGCAAGTATATACATGGAGCAGAAGGGGATGGCAACCCAAACATGCTGGTCTTGCATCCCAGGGATTCCAAGAAGAATAAATGTGGAAGGGTGGAAGGCAGTGTCATTGGAGGCAGATGCGGAGATCATAATGATGCAGAGAACAGAAGGCTTTCTCTTCCTAAAAGTGGTTAGCAAATGAAAGAAAGTCATCTCAATGCCACTTATTTTTCCTACATGTTTATTCAATTTCTTGCCTTTCATTCCCACCAATTCTACTACAATTGATGCCTTCCTCATTTCTTGCCTGGGTTATTAAAATAGCTATATAACTAATATGCCCACTTTCAGGATTTCTATCTTTCAGTGATGCCTTTATATTGCTGCCTAAATATTTTAGCATGTGAATATAGTCAGCTAAAATGCAAATTTCTTAGTGTACACAATGCAATATATTTTTTATTGACCTCCTCTGGTCTACACTCCACCACTTTCCAATATGTCTGGGCCTTGGGACACTGGGACACATCAACAGACTTCCCTACTCTCTTACTTCTGGTTGGATTTGGCAATAAGAAATACCAGCAGGAGATTGGAAGAAAGTCAGAGATTTATTCTTCCTGTGGGATTGCTGTAAACTGGCTGCACCTCTCTGTGAACAGCCTTCTCTGGTCTCATTTCCACTGGTAACCATATTCTACTCTTTTCCATTCACTCCAAGGGTTGTAATAGTGTCTTATTTCACTAACCCTGGGACTTCATAAGCACTTGTCATTTCTCTATGGTGACCCACATCTTTGCTAATGGTTTCTGTATCACGCTGTACTCACACTGCCTATTTGAGCAAGAAAATTGTTTCCCACTAGTGTTTTTACAAAATGGCATGCAAAGCTCTTCTTGATCTTTTTCTTGCTCTTTGCCAATTACCTAGCATTAGTTATCACCACATTCTTCTATATGCTTCATGTTCCAACCATATGTAAGTCATATCTAATTTTGGACATTTCTAAATATCCTAAGGCATGTTTTGTCATATCTGCATGCATTTTCATATGATGGTTTGTTGTTGTTTTTTTTGCCCAAAATGGCTGTTCCCAGTTGGTCACCTGCCAAGGTACTAACAATCATTCAAACCCAGCTGAGTAATCTTCCTCTACGAAGCCCTTCTAAGATTGCTTCTGCTGTGGTGTAAGAACCATACATCTTCAGCACACTCTCCTTAGGAAATATAAACTTGTTTTAAAATTATATGTATCTTTCTTGCCCATTACACTATGAAATCTCTGCATCTCATCTGTTTCTCTATATTCAGCATCAATGCCTTTGATACCTAGGGCAATAAGTAATGTGTACCAAGTACATGAACAAAGGATTGAATGCTACATTTGAAAATATTTTTAACTTTTTTGGATAAATGACCATGGTTGCAAATGGTGTTTCTTCTTAGGAGCCTTCCTTTTGTATCTTCTTTCATGGAGCTACAATGCCCATTGTGTTTTTTTCACTCTATATACTCCAAGATGTGCTCCTTTATAAGGTCTTTATTACGCTTCTAATCTAACCTAACCTAATCTAATCTAATCTATACATTTTTTGTTTTCTTGATTGGCACATGCATTAGTTTGATTATAAACATAACTTCTGTGTCTCTTTTGGCTACTTTAAAATGTGAGCCCTGATATGACAGGTCAGGCCAGGAGCTACACAGGTATGTGCTCCAGGAAAATTTCAAGATGAAGTGTGCCATGGGAAGGGAAGCATAGTGGTGAGTTATATCAGTTCTTGGAGTGACTAGTCAATGAATTTAAGATTATGCCAATAGGAAAGAAGAAAATAGATAAAGAACTATTTTTTCCTTGGAGTCATCTTACCTTGAGAGATTCTAGTAGGTGAAGTCAGAATCATCATTCTTACCTATTGAAGTTCAGTCTTTGTGACTCAGACACCCTGGTGTTTAGAAGAGACATCAATCTTAAGTTCATTTGCTGTCATCTAAAAAGTTTTAGAATATGGAAACACCTAAAATAATATAAAAAATAATATAATAATTAAAAAGAATATTTTCCTTCAACCCCTATTCATCTACAACTGCATTATTAAAGACCAAATCATTTTGTTTATTAATTGCAATATTGCATGTATTTTGCATATATTTATGCAAGTTCACTACTTTAAGTCAACAGTTACTGTAACTATAAATTATATAGATAAAAATGTAATTATAAATATTAATTACCAATAAAATTATTATTTTGTTTGAATTTTAAAGCCAAACAGTAGAGCTTAGTGCCGATCTTAGTGTAATTTTGTATATCCTTAAAAATTCAAAAATCAAGTTATAACAGAAAAATCAGATTTATTGTAAACATATCAATGCTTATGGTGGAAAAGTATAAATATTTTTTTACTTCTATCCTGGAAATTCCTAAGAATTTTAAACAATATAGGGTGTCCCCAAAAATGTATATAAGAACATATTGATGACAAATTTGGGTATGAAATAAAGATAGCTAAATACCTAAGCCGTTCAATAATAATTATAAAGGCAGTGTTTATTAAAATACATTTCATTTTCAAACTTGAGCTATCGGCTGTTAAAGTATGTATATATTTTTGGGACACCATATATATATAAATCAATGGAATATAATATGTTCATGAATTGGAAAATGAGTTACAAGGTATATATAGTTCAATAATTATGTGATGCTTAACTCCTAACCTGTAATATCTTGAAAAGTGGGCACCTGGCAGTTGCTTATTCAAATCTAGTGACAGAGAGTATGTGTGCTTTTGAGGGAGCCATTCTCAACATTAGACACTCTGAGTCTGAGAATATTTTCCTTTCATTAGTCAATGTCTCTAAAAATTCCACATTAAACAAGCATGATTCCCCTTCAATGTCTTAGGCTTCTATTTTGTGAACATTATTATTCTTTGTAATGCTGCTCTTTTATTTAATTACTTTGTCAAAAAAACTGTATTGGGCGTCTAATATGTACCAGGAATTCTTCTAGATATATGCTATATACTGAAGAGTAAGAACATACATGTTCCATGATATATTAAACTCATTTAATAAGACATAATATAATAATGTTAAGACATAATATAACATAATAATAATATCAAATAATCTCCAACATGTGTGTTAAAATGTTACACTGACATGCACACTATGAAAAAAAAAGTTATACAAGCTGCCTACTCAGGGATGAAGACTCCATAAAAGAAGTCATAGGCATGAGTCTGTGCTGCCACTAAGAATGAAGAAATGTTTATCTTATTACTGTTAAAGAAAAAACATCTATTAGGCTGTTCAGTTGGCAGTCACTGATTTTGCCCTGGAAAAGCTACACAGAACCTGGGGTTTATTGAAGCAAGAATTCACAGCTTAGAGGTTTCTAAGTTTTCTGCATGTGAAATTACAGAAGGAAATTAGGGAATTAGATTTGGAGGGTTCAAGCTGTATTCAGTCACTAGGGAAACTGGAAATCAGATGAGTTTCCTGACCCTCCAGTCTTTCTCAGGGCACTGTGAAGGTCCTAGGTACTCAAGAACGAGGCCACTCCCTAACATACATGTACCTTAACTCTCATCTGGCTGGTCTGA